ATCCTCGCAAGCGTGTGGCAAGAGGAGGCAAACTTCGAAGTCCTGAAACGCTGCTATATCCAAACATATCCAACTAGTTTTTTGCTGTGTTACGGAAAAGCTGTTAATCTTCAACATATGTGAAACTTAGAGTTGAGTAATGTGGAGCTCTTGTAAAAGAAGCAACAGAAGACAACTTGGTCAGTGATATAAAGGGGAACATAACTAAATTCGACACTGTCTTACTACACTCAAACTGGAGCAGCTTACGACGATAATACTGAGGTAAAATTCCAACAGACATGTGCGTATTGAGTTGTTTGGTCAAAAGCATCAAACATTTCGGGAATTTCGGACGCCATTCCCCCGCGCTACTTCCACAAAAATCCTCGCAGCATATACACGCGTGTGCCGTACGGGATGGCGCAATTTGTTCTAAAAATAGAAAAAATGTCCCATATCATAGGGACAGCCACGATACTAGAAATGGCGCGCGCTTACGGTCTCCGTTCCCGATTTTGGCTCCTGATATCAGTTTAAATATGTAAAACCCAAAAGCGCCGAGGACAACTGATGCTTAAAATTCGTCCAGTTAGCAATCCTAAAATCCATTTGTTTCTTTTAGGTAAATATTTGGACACGCAGCATTAAAAGCCCGAAAGAAGCATGCAAATTATATGTTCTTCCATAAGCCCTTAGCATCTCTCTCAAGATGCTTGTTTTTCTTTTGCATAAGAGAAGATATTTCATCTCCGCAGCATGAAAGTTTGCTCGTATTTCAGTTCTTCGGCCGCAACAATAAAAACGCCTTTAAATGATGTATTTTGTCCCTTACATTCAAAAACTCAATTTCCCAACATTACAGTTCAGGGACGGATCTAGGCGGAGGGTGCAGGGGAGAAGAACTCTAGCTTCTCGAGTGCTCTCCATACCTCCCAGGCGCATCCATAACTCGATATACGCACAGAACCGCATGAACCAATTCTTTTATAACCTGACGACAACAACTTGGGCGCTAAAACATGTTTTGTTCGTGATTGGTTAGTACAAAGTTATCACTTCTCTCTTACTTATCAAATTGTTATTAGGTCTTTCTTTTATTTTATATGCGACCCCACAAGCTTTTAGCTTTACTAGTAAAACTCATCGTGTTTAAATAAAGGCTTCCTATCCCATCCCATCCCATCCCATCCCATCCTATCCTATGTACGGAGAAGGAAAACAAAGATCACTAGGATCCTAACAAGCCACAATCAGTTGAGCAACAGTTGCCGAACGAAAACGGTTAATCTGATTTCCAAAATTTTCAATGGAAAATTCGCTTCTTCGAATTAATTATAATGAAAATGTAGGTAAACAAAGTCAAAAATACTCAATGAAAATGTAGACAAACAAAGTCAAAATACTCAAGTTTAAGTAAACATCTTAGCTTGGCAAAAGTCAAAGGCTCGAAGTAGGGTTTGGATTGTTTAGAATAATCTTCACACTGCCGAAACAACAAAAGGAACTTGCACTAAACTAGACGGAAATTTTCAAGCTAAATTGAAACTGCACATGTCATGTTATATACGCACGGCCGTGCGTACATAGAGATTTCGTCCATGATGGCTCAATAGGAATTAGGTAGGACTAGCGCGCGCGCTATGTTATAAAAACATATAATTGCAGTGTTTCTAACTTTTCAACACACAAATTTATATTCTTTTCAAAATTCCGATCTCAGGTTTATTCTTAAAATATTCTTAAAATTTCGCAAATTTCAGCCTCTGTATTCTTATAAAATAACAGTATTCTTATATAAAAAAAGAGTGTAGTTCCATAGCATTCACATACTTACACCCGTTTTGTGTTAATTATCTCTGTTTTTGGACACACCAATTCCAAAAAAAATACATGTATATAGGAAATATAATATAATTTTCAACACGTTAAACTGTAAGACAAAGATACACAGCACGAAAGATCGTCGAGGCTATAAACACAGCTTAGCCAGTTGTAAAAATAAGTCATGGATAGAAAATGATGCTTAAATGAAATTTGAACCGATTAACTTCTGTGATATCCGATGGGGTGTCATGAAAAAAATTTCTGGAGGCTTAATGTGTTACCGGGGTAATATTTTTTGAAGACAGTGTCATTATTATAATGATTTCAATCTACAAGTTAAATTTTGACCTAACCACAATTTCTTTGTTATTGAAATTTGTGGCTGTAAAGTGTCATCATCTAGTTTGTGTTCTCCAAAAATTCCAAGTCGTTTTACAGGACCATGAATCTTTGAAAAAAAATCTTTATAGACCGAAACAAGGTGAGAAGTACATGTTAACTAAAAGTTGTTGATACTGTTAATCAGTAGCTGGGCAAACGTAGCGTTAAAGCTCAATATTTTTCGCAGTTCTGCTGTTTGACATTGCTTAGTCAGATTATTTAGAACGTACAATGAAGAATTCCGCATTTAATCGTTAATTCTTGCTTCCAGACATTTCGCTCCGGCTGAATGTTAGCCCTTCAAATAGGTCAATTCGCTTTTTGCCATAAGTTGCAAGTCCTCCCTATTTACTTCCTAACTGAACATAATACAGTGGATTTAAATTCGACGAATTTCCAAACAACATTGTAAAATTATCTAAAGAAACCTTAAAAGTAGATAAAACATGCTTAGTCAAAGAATACTCCCTTGAAAAGTTTATTTTCTAAATAGTTAGGCGTCCGCTCTGTATTCTTAGTGCCTTTCTTCAGACGTTAATTCAGTCATTGTAAGTTGCCGGTTTTCAGTTTCATTTTGAAGCACCTTTAGGACCTTTAGGTGTTTACAGTCAAGCAATTAACTATTCATGATCTTGCATCTGTTATACATATTCACCTAAATGAAACCGTTTTGTTTCCCCAACGCATGATAAAGAAAATATATATATATGTCTGCTGTAAGCAATTTCAAGCGGTTATTAATTTTTTTCTTCCACAGTAAAGAAATGTAACAGTTGATTTGATGTAGTGGGCAGGTTAACTATCAAAGAAGTATTTAAATCGAGCTTTTATAATTTAGAATACATAAAGGCATACTTCATGAAAAACCTTAGCAGCCAAGGGGCAATTACTCGCATGAACTAATTAACTCAAACAGTGTTCCCGACCCGCAAATACTTCTCCACTTCCAAACTGCTTCGCCATTTACTTCCAGGCGTTTTCTCCTTCCCCGTTCAATGCGTGTTCTGGGCTAATGACTCGGCTGGGAGATCGATTTTGAAATTCGCCGCAATTATCAAAAGTCTTACAACCCAGAGGTTTTCTTGAATAGGTATTGTTAGTCTTAACAGCCATTGTTATTCAGTCCTGAGAATAAATTAATTTGACCAAGCAGTTTTCAAACCAAAAAACGCAAAAAGACGCAAAAAAAAAAAAATGACGTGAGTTTGTTAATCACACCTCATCAAAGATATACAACCCTTACTGATGGAGCGTCAGAACCCCCGTGGGGTTTACTCCCATATGTAAGTTATATGGGTATGTTCCGCTGTGAAGAGTATGGTTTTCAGGCAGTTAAGTCTAGGATAGGGTATAGAAATCAGACAGTTTTGGTCTAGAATGGGGTGTAATTTACCAGAAAACGCGGGCAATATCTAAATACTTTAGTCTAGAACAGAGTTCTTTACCCGGGGTTCTATACTACAAACTGAAGCTCGGACGTCACCCTGTAAGATAATTGGTTTAGTTATCGTATGTTGGGCCACAAGAGTGATAAATTTTCTGCATTTGAAATAGCTAGTCTGGTATAGGGTGGGGGTTTCTAGTGCCTAGTCTAGAATAGGGTTGCAAAACAAGCTGATCGTGTTCTAGTATAGGGTAAGCGTTTCAGGGTCCCGTCAGCACACCCTTACCCAAAGATTTACGGAGTACCTGCTCCCCCTCTTCCGGGTTAGAACTCTCTTGTGTCGCAAGAAACAATGATTAAGCTAAACCGAAGAAGAAGAGGCCATCAGAAAGTAAATGCAAAGTGAGGAAAATAAATGATATTGGCATCAAAAAAGGGACCAAAAAACAAAGGCAGAAACTGAGAAACCCACAATACAGGAGTATAATCACTTAGCGCCGCCATCAAAATAGCCACTGTTTATACACACATTCTATTTTCTAAGTTCAGTGGCTTTAAAAAGCCAATTTGATTTGAATTTGACATGGTTAAAATCATTTCAAGTTCATTTTACATTTACGGAATAAAATTTAAAGTGCTCTTATCTTTCGAACGCAGTCTTTTACGCGATCAGACAAGATATGTTGACTGTGATACCGGGAGATAAAGACTCAGTTTGTGCATTCTGCCTAATAAAGCAATTTGCAATCGTATTTTTCTGTTGTTGTTTGTTTATACAAGTACATGTATGTTTGATTTAAACTGGCCATCATTCGACGCCTGACTCCGGCCCGTTGCAATTGTTAATTAACGACTATTTTTTGTTTTCGTGAATACTTGATGATTTCTGTCTAAAATAAACATGAAGCAGGGAATAGTTTCAATGTATATTAAAATACGTCCTTCTTTACACCCAGCTGTTGAGCTAAAAGGAAAAACCGACAAAAAAATTAATGGCTTCAATTAAGACCTATGCTTGGAAAAAAAGTACATTTGCGCACACAGTTTAAATAATGACATAGTGCAGCCAATCAAGGAAACTTTAATGCACTAATTGAGATTTGCCTTCAATTGATTATGCCATTGCCGTCATTCAGCATAATTTAAAGACGGAAAAGTAATCAATTGATAAATGGCAGGTTTTTAATCTACACCTTCTAACAATAAGGAGCAGTGTTTATAACGGAGTACATTAATATTTCTCAAGAAGTCTATCTGGCTGATTAAATGACCTGGGTTCCTTCAGGAAAGGCAAAGACAACGTTCGTTGGTCGTTTACCTTTTGGCTTTTAAAACATACGGCTCTCTTGTCAGAAATAAGGATATTAGAATATTGCCTAGTTAAAGCAACGTTTTGCCGATGAAGCAATTTTTCATTTTCTGTCTTCAGCCGCTAACGAAGAAAGAAGACCAGTCCGCACCATGGAAAAAATGAATCACTGATCATGACGCGATTATAACGTGAGTATAGTTCAGTACATTTTGAGGTGCTAGCTAGCTGATAGGTGATTAATATTGGGAATAGCTTGAATTGCTTCGGGTTTCTTGTTAACATTAGCCAGCATACATATTGCAAAGGGTACAACAAAACTGAGAAAAACAGAGACAACGCTATTATTAGCTATTGAGTAAGTCACAATACCGATTGACGCGGCAAACTTTATCTAGCCCGAGCTGTCGAGTGGTAAAGATGGTTGCCTGGAGGCGTTAATCTTATAATAGACGCAGACACATCGTTATCGGATTGATTAATGTGTTTCTATCTCTATATATGAATCCTCGTTGTCTTGATTTAGAAGTAATATTGCACCCTCTCTCGGGAAAGCCACGCACAAGAGGCTTTTGGTTCCATGGCAACTGTAGCCAAAGAAGGCTAAGCCATTCTAGTTGGAAGCGACTGAATCGAACGAAACTATTACCCTAAATTTCACTGAATTGAAATTTACATTTTCATGCCGGATTAGTACTTTGCTAGCTGTCCTTTTCATGGGTGCTATTTTGACTGAATTGCAGATTTTTGACTCAGATTTTCTCATCTTTAATCAGTTGTTAAAGTCGACTGTCTGTCACTCACGTACGCCAACTGAACAAGCTGCTGCTTCAGTCACAGAAAGATAATTTATTTAACTCAGCTCCGCTTTACCGTGGACGCAGATTAGAAATTTAACAGAGGCAATATATATAATAACGTTGAGGCTGCTGAGGGTAATCTAGTGGATGATTCCAATAAAATACAATTTCACGCGGCATTAATAAGAAGTTCGCTATGATAGAAAAGGATTTCTTTGTGCGCTGGGCTAACCAAGTATCAATCGAGCATAGAGTTCTTAAAGGGCTTTATGAAATAGTGAGTGAGAATGGTAGGAAATGAATTCCAAAGTTGAGAAGCAGTAAATTATAGGGAGTGCAAACCACATTACGTGATATTAATTTATGGTTTCCATGGAGCTCTAGCGAAGGTAGAAGCTGATTGTTAGCATAGCAGATCGGAAGTCTCAAATCATTTGAGGATGGCTAAGGTAAATGTCTTACCGAAACTCAAATAGAAACACCTTTCCTTGAGGCCCTGTTTGGATAAATACCGAGGCCGACAAGGCGTTGAACTGAGTTGAAATAGAGACGTAGAGGAAGTGAAATGAAGACGAATGAAATCGCGAAAGCGAAGGAAAGAAAAGAGAAAATAACAGTGAATTCACTGTTCCTAATTGTACGTAGTTGCCTAATGTATTCACAAATCCCCTGCGTCGTCTACCAGGGTCCCTCGTTCATACAGCAATCCCTCTAGAGCGCCAACAACTCGTTATTTTCGTGCCCACGGAAACAGGCAGCAGGATTTAAAACAGGCAAGATCTACGTAGAAAAACAGAGAAGTAAAATCATTTAACAAC